TCGAGTCGCTTGCGACTCATAGCGACCCTAAGTACAACAGCCCTAAACTCTGCTCTGTCCTGTGCCAATCGCACTGTCTCTGACACTCCCATCCCGATTATCCCAGTCACTGAATCAATCCACCTCACAAGTGGCTAGTCTTTGGAAAAAGGTATCATGCTGGGAAAGGTAAAGAGAGAGAGAGAAAAGGCAAGTTTCAACCAGATGGAATTACAGATGGACTGTAACAATGATCTTGAGAATGACAGATATTGTGGGGATAGCACAGGATAGGGCAAAGTTCAGATCAGTTTTTCTTAGGGTCACTATGGGTTACAGTTGACACAACAGCACCTAACAACAAAAGTATGCAAAATGGAGAGCACAAAAAGGAACAGAATGGAGACCAAGAAGGAGGAGGAAAAGGAAGATCATACCAAAGAAAGCAAACCAACCCCCAAACTACTTGGCATATGTAAAAGCAGAAGGAAGAAAATTTTTCAAGTAAAATCAGAAAGTACTAGAAAACTTATTCAACAGCCAAAAGTGTTCTGAAAAACAAAAGGCAGTAATAATTTTCTTTTTATTAACTCAATTTTATAAGGGGATAAACTGGGCTTAGAAGGCTTTATCTCCTGAACTAAGTATAAATTGACTGGGAGAGAAAAGATTAAAAAAACCCAAAACCATACTTTTAAATACTCGGTCTCATATTTTAATTATACACTCCCATTTACACCCTGTGGAGAGGTGCTTCAGCACATCTGGAAACAATGACAGGGGACATACACATATCAAAACCTAGACTTCATTTATTTTCTTCCAATTAAAAAAAACCCCAAGAACAGAACCCCCTATAAATGAAAAATATATATAAAAGATTGGGTCTGTCATTTTAAAAAAGATGAATCACAGTGGAATTATTTAGATTGACTTATTATGTATGTTAACTAACAAAGTCAATTCAATAATTGAATTCAATTAAATTGAAGTTAACAATCCAATGGATATTCCACGTCTCATTAGATGTTAGGGAGCTCAAGAGGCTCAGTGATAAAGAATTACACTGTCAACACAAACGTCTGTGGTTCAAGTTCACCAGCTGCTTCATGGGTGAGCTTCAAAGATGACCTATCTCCTCCCATATGATTTATTGCTTCTGAAAATCCACTTTAGTTGATTCTTGCTTGAGGGTACACAACAAACAATAATTGATGTTAGATGCACCAAGGGCCATTATTAAAAAGATAAACACACAAAAGCACATGAAGAAATGTTCAAAATCCATAGCTCTAAGAAAGAAGCAAATCAAAACAACTATGAGATATCATCTCACCCCAGTCAGAATAGCAAAATTTAACAGAACAACAAGCAACAAATGCTGATGAGATTGTGGAGAAACTGGAACCCTTATTCACTGTTGGTGGGAGTGTAAAATGGTGCAACCCCTGTGGAAGGTGGTATGGCGCTTTCTCAAAAAGTTGCAAATAGAGATACCATTTGACCCAGCAATTCCACTACTGGGAATATATCCCAAAGAGATCATAACTGAC